TTAAATATTTAATTTGGCTCTTAAAATGTATGCCTTCAAAAACAGTGGTGAATTTGGATTTACTCTAGGGTAAGACAAAATTTATTATTTAAAGTTGTTTTAAACTAACAAATTTAAAATTCATCTGTTTGGTACTAGAATTAATTTTGACCCAATTTTGAAAGATATTATTAGAAAAAAAGTGTTACGTCTAATACTCTAACTGGGAAGGTATTTTATCCAAATGGTCCTCATGGTCACTATTTTTCTGACTCTGCCCAAAAAGTTGTGTGCAAAGAGACTCAGTGTAGGAATGCGGCTTGATGAGAGGAAACTTCCCCTTGCTTTTCTTGTGTTAGACAGGATGACCTGGTCAGGAGAGAACCTATACTTCAGCCTTCTCCTCACTACCTTAGAATTGAGGGAGGCAAGAATACCAGAGGCACCCACAGGATTTCAGTGCTAGTGTGACTAGGTGGGAACTGGATGAGTAAGTCTGTATAGTTCCAGAGGTAAGGTTCAGGCACACTTAAAACTACTTTATAAATATTTTGATAAAAACTTTAGTGAAAATTTTATAGTTCTCTATCTTTAAGCTGATCCAGAATTTGGACCCAGCACTTTAAGTGAACACTTCCTCATGCTCCAAAGACCAACAAATTTATAGGCATCTTTTTTTTTTCTATTCATTCATTGTTTTTTGTATTTCTGTCTTCAGCACACAGATACACTTCTATTTCAATATTTGTTGCATATTGAATTATAATGAAATATATTACAAACACAGTCATGAAATATACTTCATAGCTAGAAATCATTATGTCCCGGGAGTGCGATCTTTTTCAAGATTGATTCTTTAAATTGTGGAGCTTATTTTAGACATTTAAACAGTGATAGAGTTTGGATATCATTATCCAAAATAGCAGCAAGAAGAATTACTATATTGATAAATAGTCTAGAAGCTATAAAATGCAATAAATGGGGAAAATGATTTATATTGAAGAAGGTTTTTTATTATACATATTTTCCTTATAGGAAGATAATTCAATCACCAGCTTTATCTATCATAAAATATCCTATTAAAGGTTTCAAATGTGCTATCCAGAGTTTTATGTCTATGTCAATAATATTATGCACTAAATAACTCTTTGGGAAAAAAAGTCATTTTTCATTTATTTCCTTTGCACTTCTTTTACTGATAGTATTTTACACTCAACTTATTTTGAAAAAAATATTTAAACATAGGTAAAGACTTAGGTACTTAGAAAGCATAGTGTTAAAAACTAACAAGTCAAGTTTTTTTGCTTAAAATGTTTGCTTGTTTTTAATGACACATTATTATATGCTAGCATTATTAATATTATTATTTACAAAATATATACTAGTATTATTATGCCTTGGTCTTAGTCATTTAGGAGGGCAGCCAGAGACGGGAAATAAGGGAAAGAGTAAAAGAAAGAATTATCTCAAAATAAAAACCACAAAACTTATGTTTAATAAAAAAGTGAAGTAATTCAAATTCATATTCAACCAGATAAAGCATAGGAATGACAGACTCACACCAACAAAACAGGTTTGGTGCAATTACAACAGCAACAATTTCAAAAATTATCTGAAAACATTCATAGTATAATTATAGGTAGTTTATATCCTTAAGCCATTTAATGATTTAATTCATTATGCTAAATTATTATCATTACCCAATAGAGATTCATGAAGAAAAATACAAGTAACATTTGAAGAAAAAAATAACTTAAATAGAAAATAAAATGAACACTAAATCCAAGAAATATATAAAACATTGGAAGTGATTGAGGGTGTTCATTTGAAACCAATGCCCTTAAAGATATGCTTGAACAAGACTTTTAAATAACTCAAGCAAAACAATTTTGAGAATATATATTGTCATCATTGATTACTGCAGTTTTGAAGTGTATTTTGAAGTCAGGTAGTGTGATCCTGTTTTGTTCTTTTTGCTCAAGATGAGTTTGCTTACTTGAGGTTTTTGTGATTCATATAAATTTTAGTATTGTTTTCCTCTAGTTCTGTGAAGATTGCCATTCAGCCTGTGACAAGGATTGCACTGAATCAATAGATCATTTTGGGTAGTAGAGTGATTTTTATCAATACTGATTCTTCCAATTGGTGAACACAAGATGTCTTTCCATTTTTTGGGGGGGGGTGTCATTTTCAGTTTTCTCATGAATGTTTTATAGAACTCATTACAGACATTCTCACCTTTTTGGATACAAATATGATAGGGTTTTATTTTGTTGTTGCTTTTTGTTTGTTTACTGTAGCTACTGAAGTGGGACTACTCTCTTGATTTCTTATTCAGATAAACTGCTATTGGTGTACAGCTACTTTACATTATGTTTCTATGTTGAATTTGTATCCTGAAACTTTGCTGTATTTTTTACTATTTTGGACATTTTTAGTGGCATCTGATATTTTCTATATTTAAAATGATGTCACGTGCAAGCTGTTTGCCATCATTGGAACAGTCAAAGTGAAAAAGTGACTTAATCCCATAAGGTCTTGAAACATGTTTTATTTTAAAAATTACAAAACAAAAACTAACATTAAAGCCAAAGTGTGGCATTCACAATATCAAAATAACAGAATAAGTAAAATAAATAAAAAATAAACAAAATTTTGATGCTCAGGAACAGAACTGTCCATGAGAGCCAATGTACCTTTTGCTCTTTCTCTCCTATTTTTTCCTTTCTCTCTTTTTCTTTCAGAAAATGAATTTTAGGTTATAAAATTCTTTTAGGTGCTTTTCCATACAACAGTATTGCAGTAATAATAAAAATAATGAAGACTAATATTATTTCAAAATCTCTCAACTCTTTATAGAATTCCACAATTATTGAAAGTATTTATACATTTTTGTCTACCTACATTACTTTCATAACAAAAATGTAAATGCACTATGTTTCAAGTATGCCAAACACAGTGTTCAAGATATTTCCATATATTTACACTATTTTTTTCATATTTTTATCACATAGGTGCTACTTTTTCTCTTTCTAAAATTCAGAGAAGTTAATGGTTTTTAAAGACTCAATTGGTTAAAATTGGGCTGCTTGTTGGTGGGAGGGTGTAGATAAGGATTCAACCTCAGGTTTGATATCTTTGTTTTATTATTTTATTATAATTCATTAGTGAGAAAATGGAATGGAGAAATAACAAAGGACAGAGCAGCCTTTTCTTTCTGCTCACAACCTACCACTTCCCCTTTAAATCCTCAAGGTTATGGCACAGTCATATGTTTTCAAAATGTGAGGAGGATCTACTCCTTCTCTAATCTGTCCTTGCTCTCTTCATCTGCCCTTGCCTGGGTTCTCATTCTCTCCAATTCTAAACATTTGTGAAACTGAACCATTTGACTTGCTGGGTTTGCTTCCTTCTTTCAGTATTCTTCCTGAATTGGAACTCACTTACCCTCACTCAATATTTGAAACTTTTACATTTATCTCGGAAACTGGGCAACTTTGGTCCCTTAGAAAAGCATAGTTCCACTTATTTACTCATTGAACAAATAGAAAAACCTACTGTCTACCAAGCACCATTACAGATACTGTGTGAAGGGATGACAAATACAGACAAGGCCCCTGTTTCCACTAAAATATGCAAGAAAGAGATTATAAACCAACCGGTACACAGGTAAAATACTTTTACATAACAATAAATACTTTGAAGAAAGAAAAGTAAGATCATGAAAGAGCAGAGAATAAAGGGATTCTCTGAGAAAGTAAGACTTGGTTAAAATATGTGAAGCCTATTGTGATTAAAAAAAATAGAGCATGAGGAAGAGAGAGTTGAGGGGGCTCAGATGAAACCTTGCTCTAGGTCACAAAGTAGGGCCCTCATAAATCAGAGCAAGATATTTAGGTTTCATTTACAGTGGGCAGTTCCTGGTCTTAGATAAAGCAAGGAAGATGACCACACTCAGGTTTTTAAAAGTTCTGTGTGGAGAACAAACCATAGAAATATTGTAGGAGAAAAAGTAATAGTGACTTGGTCTGTTGAGAACCAGGAAAGAGTAAGACCCAGGAAACATTCTGAGGTTATAAACGGATGACTTCATACAGATTTGAAAGGCAGGGAAGGGAAAGAAATGACTTTAAGGAAGATTCTTTCACAACATTGAAAAATTGCATGAATGAGCTCACCAGTCTTCTATTAAAATTATCAAGCAACTGAAAAGGAAACAGGACTTTTTATTTCCAGAACTTTCCTATCCAGCTTTATACAGTGTTCTTCATTATAGGAATTATAGAAATTACTCATTTTTAGGAACCATGGAATATTTAGATATTATTTCAAGTCATATACAAAATTGCAAATATAGAAATATGGGATATTTTTAAATCTTAGGAAAAAGTCATAATTCACTTATTACACAATACCTCGCAAATATCATTTTAGTGTCTCCAAAGTGCTGAATAATATATCACTGTGATAATTCTATACATAGCAATATTAAATTAAGAATTTCTTAATTTTTAAAAAATTTACAAATTGGGAATAAGTGAAATTATTAATCTCTATTTTTCACATTATGCATCATACTTCTTGCCATTTATTTCTCTTTTACTATATCATATGTCAAACACAACCAGAAATAATACAATAATGGAAAGAATCTAATTGTAGATCTTTACTATTTACCTCTAGTAAACACTTCCTGCTCTCTAGAAGCAATGACTTCTACCAGTGACATTTTTTAAACAAAATTTGCCATAACATTTGTATCACAGAATATAGTCACTATGCCTGTATTTAATGTATATTAGGTTTTAAATAGCTTTTTGGCATAGAGTAAGTGATATTCATCTATGTTGTGAATATGAATACTGTAATGGCATTTAAAACACTCAATGTGAGGGATAAATGAATGGATATATTATACAATTACTCAAACTGCAGCTATCTGGATTAATTCGCACATTTAAGTGATTATACAGTTTTATGAACAAGCACACACAGGCACAAATATTTTCAAAGAATCGTACCTCCCAGAGTAGCAGATAGCAAGAAATGAGTTCCATATTTCTTGATAAGGTTTTCTGTGATTTGCTGAAGGGTAGGTCGCCGTCCCAAAAGTCTTATGTTGCGGAAGAATTCAGGGGCAAGAGGCAGAGGGGAGCCAAGGAAATTTCTTCTTTCAACTGCAAGATTATTTACTTTCCAGCGGCCAAACTCCCTGAAAAGCAAATTTATTTTTATTCATAAATGCATAATCTATCTGAATGCTCTCATTTGAAAAGTTCACTTGGTAGTTTAGCTAAGGTCACTCGATTACAATGACTTTAGCTTGTAATGATATGTCACAGTCTCTGAGTAGGAGAAACAATATTTATAATTTATGTAACTGGAATGAATGCTCAAACCCAAGTATGTGTAGGAAAAACAAACCACTTAAAGTGAACAGCTTCCACTAACATACTTTTCCCAAATAGAAATGTAGCCATAAAAATGATTTTACTATGCATAGAATATAAATATGGATTTTACCACCCCCCCAAAGAAAAAGCATGAAAAAGAAAAGAAAAAATTAAGGTAATCATGTTCTATGAAAAACAAACAAAAAACAAACTTATACTCATCATCCCAATGATTCTTTCTCCATTCACTTTATTATGAAGTCATGGTCATGAACTGCACAGAGAGATCATGCTAAACAAAATGCTGTACACTTGCCTTTTTACACAAAAAATATTTTGAGGTCTTCTAATTATAATTTATTCATTCATACTTTAGTATAATCATTTAACTGTTGGGGTCTGAGGCTTTCTTTTTTAAATTAAATTGATTTTATCTGATCCATAAAAACAAAAATTTTGTATACTTATGCAGAACTATGGGACATTCAGATTCATGTGTACATTGTGTGATATTTAAACATATTAAATAATTCATGACGATTTTCTCATAAAAATGTACCTCACCTAACTTGATTTGGGTGCATTTTCATCTGCCGATGCACACACCTTAAATATGAAGGGCCTCTGACTGTGGACTACATTTCAGGGAGCTTTCTGTAGTTATCAGGTGCTTTTGATTACCTCAATCTGCTAAACTCTGCTACATTTATAGTTTCAATTTCTATCATTTCACATACAAAAAAAAAACTTTTCCACACCATATGATCAATTTATTTTCTCTGTCATGCAGCAACCAAAAGGAAAGAGCCAACTCTGGAGACATTGCCCACTTAACAAAGTAACTAAGTTGTAAATAAATAAATCCCCAGTAATGTTAATAATTATAGGAAAGTGTTAATTTCCAGATCTTTATTGGAAATTTTCCCAGTTTCCCCCCATATTTTCCTATAAGGAATCAAGTAAAACACGACACTTTCTACAGTGTATATTCAACATGTTCAGTTTGTATAGAGAAAATAAATGTTGAATTGAGATGTAAGAGGTTTCTCATTTCTATTTAATGTATTTCTTTTATAATATAGTGATACAGAATCACTGTTATAACCTTTTTATTTTGGTGGAAACTCTGATGAGAGGTATTGAAATAATCATGAGAAGTGGTGACAAGAACACATTAAGAAAAAAAAATCTCTGGGAAGCTAGGTACCACAACACAGGTAGAAGATATTAAATATAAATATAAATATTCAGTGTCTCTTCTTCTGAATACAAGACAAGCTTACATTACTAGCACACTTTAAATTTACTGTGGTCATTTGGTTTACTTTGACCAATGACATTTGAGCATGTAAGATAAATCTCATTATTCAGTCTGGGATGATGATCAACAAGTATGGTGAGAATCCCAATCCCCTAAATATAACCTTGTGGTTTACCAGGATTCACAAATGCAGGACAAAATATAATTATAGAAAATCACCAAGATCATGTGGCTATTGTTTGCTTGGCTTGCTTCTTTTATAGCAATATAATATAGTACTTCATGACTGATTTATTTTGACTTTGGGGAAACTTAGGAAAGAAATAAGAGCTAATGTTTCCTACATAAAATTGTAACATTATTGGTACAGATTTTTTTTCCCCCTGTCATGAAGACGAGATTCACCTTAGTTGCAACTAGACCTTGAATTCATTTTAAATTTTGGAAAAACAAAGCAATAGATTGCTGAATTGAAAACATGCTGTTGGGTTTGATTATCATAATGAGAACATTTTACCTAAAGGCTTCTCAGGATTCAATCCAGATGCTTTATGTTTATATTAAATAAGAGCATTGTTGTATCTACCTAAATTTTACTTTCTACTTGGAGCCTTCCAGAACATAAATATCTTCCTATCATAACCTTTGGAAGTCTTTAAATGAAATAGTCACAGTCATTAGAGTCTAATGTAACTCAGCTCCTCTAGGGGCACCACTATTTTGTAGAGCACACAAATGGGCTCTTGCCAGTTCAGCCAGCACATTACTTTAAAAATGGCTTTTTTGGCTCTAAGGAGCCTCTATTAGTTTATTAGGGCTGTATGTTTGCCTGCTAAAAATTCTGACTTGCAAGCATCTATTATGTGCATCCACATAATGTTTACTTTTCTACAATGTTTATTATGATTTTATTCCTACCCATCTAATAAAAAAGGTTGGAAAACAAGAATGACATCATCAAATTTCATTCAAATAATGCTCACATAATTGCCACATTGCCATTGACCTTTCATATTAGCATTTAAATTCTATGTGAACACACAAATGTACTGAATGTATTTAAAATAAATTAATTTCCTTGATTTTTTTTTTAAATGCACATGTATGAATTCAGTTCCCCCCACATAAATAGCCACTGTTGGCACAGGAAATTTTGTACTCAATATAATAGGAAAAACAGCCTAAAATGTTAACAAAACAAGATGATATAGTTACTGAAAAGATTTATCTCTAACTACTAAATTACTCTAAATGAAGTTGTTTGTCTAGACTCCTAAAGGCTATTTTTGTATTAGTTTTTCACATTAGTACACTTGTTGGCTTATAAATTTAATTCTGTCATTATTCATTAAATTTTGCAGACATAACAATATTAAAACTAAATATATTACCCAAACACTAATCTGAAAATAAATCCAACATGAGTATCATAAATTGACTTTCGGATTTTTAGTAGTAATAACCTTCTAATTACTTCTGTAAAATCATACTGATCTTAAAAAATGCTTGTAAAACTAAATCCATACTACTTCCCCATAACTTGATTATGTTTAAGTGTTATATATAAAATTACCTTTTTTAACACTCTTGCTGTATAGCTTCCACATTTCACAAATGACACTATTTTCCATTTGGCTGGTAAAAGTGAAATGTCCCTAATGGCCTCGATGATCATAGCACTGAAGTAGTGTTTTTAAAGCAGCTAAATACTGAGCAGTTGGCAGTGTAAACTATCTACTTTCTTTCACCCTCCTGTCCCTGGATGCACCCAACTTCTTCATTTTCATTTTTAATTTAACAGTGGTAGGTTTTTTAAAAGCCAGGGAAGCATTTTAGATGAATCTGGACATTTATCAGAAGGAATTTATGAAAATTAAACACCAGAAGAAAAAACATAATCGCAAGTATGACTGATATACAATGTTGATATGTAGGAGTTTTGAGTTTCAAGAAGTAGCAATTAATGACTGATATATTTCCTATGAGCTGCCAAGCTCAGAGTAGACAATTAACATAACAAAACATTTGTCAGGCCCAGTAAAACAACAAGGATTCACTGTTGCTATGACCTCTTGACTATATTACTGAATCAAAGATGGGGGTGGTGTTAGAAGTTTTAAAAGAATGGCTTAATTTGTGGGGTCATAAAATGACTAAACATTATTTTATTTTATGTTACACAGCTGTTAATCATTTTGTATAGTTTTATAGGCTAAATTTTTATTCCAACTTTAAGGGAAACAACACAGAATTCAATTATCTCAGTCATTGACCATTAATTCTAAAGGTAATTCATTTAATAGTAACATAACAATACTACATGCTATATCTGTATATTGGTATCACATATATATCTACACTGTTGCACACATGATAATATTTCATAATATAAATAGTTATTATCCATTTATTTTCAGATGTTAGTATTTTTTTGTGATAGATAAACATACATGCTGCCAATTAATGATTCTAAGTTGAAGAAAGAGGGGAATAAGTAATAATATTGTCTGCACTTTTTTCTTCTTAAATTGTGAAAGTATAGCTTAACATTTATCACAAGTATTATACTAACGTGTCACAATTATTTTTTCATTACATTTATAAAATTATGTAGATTTGATAGTTGCTGATCAGTTTAGACAAACCTATAGCACAGATATAATTGAGCTAAAAATAAACTATCTACTTTGATTTTTTTTCAGAAAAAGAAATAAATATGAACTTTTTTTACATTTATAGCTACAGAAGCAATTATTATGCTGTTCGTAAAAGGAAAATGTTTGCATTTCATCCAAGAAGTGAAATATTTTACACAGGCAATATGATTTTTTTCAAAGGTGAATGGATTTAGGATTCAGGTGAATTTACTTATCTTTTTCTTAACAATTCAATTCACAACTTCAATCTCTTTGCCTTTTTGTATGTTCTTAAATTCACTGAGGCAAAGAAGCCTTATCTACAATTGTAAGTCTGGTAATATGGTCTCTAGTTTCTGAAGTAAAACTTGTAAATATTAACCAAAATGGTATGGAAGTATTGTTTACCTTTGAATAAATTATGATATATATACTTTTGCAAAGTCATAGTTTTATTCTCTATGTAAATTTTTAGTATATGCACAAATATTTTTGATAAAGAAATTAATAAGAAAATTATTTTTAAATTTTTAAGTAAAAGGACTCAAAGAATCTGCAAATATCTTTTGTTTTGTCTTAGCATAGACTAATAAGTTATATGTTCATTTTAAAAAGATAAACGCCATAGAATAGATACCTACTGTTAAAAATTAATGTGTTTTTGGTAATTTCTTCAAACACTTAAAAGGTATTTTCACTGAGATTTTTTGATTGTACAGCCTCTCCCTATACTCTTGCACTAAATTTTTATAAACCATGGATTTTGTCAAAGTAGCTACCCAAACAAACATCTGAGCTTCAAATCAATTATAAGGCTCATTTCAAGTAGTATAAGGTAAAAAAGCTAAATCAAAGATATTTTTAGAGTAATAGAAATTTTAGAGACAATAAATATAACTTGTTAATTTTCTTTTGTTTGTTT